AAGGAAAAACATGGTCAGAAGATTTTATTTATTTAGTAATTGTTTCAAAGTTTAGAAGTGATAGTCTCTTTTTAATGTTTTATTTGTAAAACACATTAAAAATATACAAAAATGATGAAATAAACAACAATAAGCAAATACATTGATGAGTATTTTGAGCAAAATAATAATAATAATAACAATAATAATAATAACAAAAATAAATAAATAAATAAGTAGATACATTATTTAATTAATAAATACTAGTTTAATCTTATTTACAGAAAAAAAACAAGTCTACAATGTGTTGACCAGAACTAGTATGCAGTACCAAGCTGGGAGTTGGGGGGTGGGGACTCAATCAGAAGGAGCAGGGTCAAGAATAGTTTGGACATGTGTGTCAACAATTTAATTAAAATAGTGCTAGGTCGATGAAGAGAGTACCAAATTTTCTCTAATTTCATCAAATAAAGAACATTTCTTATCCAACATGTGTGAGAAGGAGGGTGAGGGCTTCTTCAGTTCAGAAGAGTTAACTGCCTAGCCAGAAGGCTTAAGAAGGCTACAAAGCCTGCAAAATGAAAGGGTAAAGTGTGGTCGGGCGGGAGAACCCCAAATAAACCAATAATTTGACAAGGTGGAATATCAACAGTGATAATAGCCATTGAAAAAATTTGCCTCCAAGAAATGATACACTCTTAAGAATAAAAGTGATTCATAAAGGTTCTTAAGTGCTAACACAAGGTCTCATCTTTTAAACTACTTTACTCAGTTAGGAGTGCACATTCCAGTAATAAAATAATGTGTTGGAATACTAGTTTGACAGGGATTTGATAAAACAGATAAAGGCTTGATCCTCAAGGTTTTCTTCTAGTTACTTTGTTGTGCACATATTTGCTCCAGTTTGAGTTTTACTTGCTCCATACACATTTACTACATTTTTTTTGTCAAATGTCTTCATTTATTCTACTTTTGAAGGATAAATAAAAGAAATATAATAACGCAAACCACAAATATCATTGATACTGGCTTTGCTGTACTTCAGCAAACATGCTACTGCTACTGACAGATGTGATTAGTAAAGAGCCAGTGCACAATTTCAGCATACTGCATATTTACTACGTAAAATACACAATATTTGTCTAACGAATGAATATTGTGAGTTAAATAAATCTGAACTATACAAAAAACAAAGTATTTAAAGTTGACATGCAGTAAATAAAATGCATTTGTGATGAAATGCAAGCGAAATTAGACTCCTACGGTCATCCATGAACAAGAGGATATAGCAGAGAATGTCAATGGAAGAACAGTTCAACACTAAATTATTACTGTGTAAGAAATCTTCAGCATTTGCAAAACATTGTGTTTTATATATTTAAAGATTTATTCATGTAGAGTTTATGTTGGTAATAAACTAAAAAGGTAATTCGGTGTTGTTTAAACATACACAGTGTAAACTGTCAATTCAATGCTACTGATGACATGAGTTTAAAAAAGCAACAGACATAATGCAGTTCTAACTGAGAAAAGAACTCTTTTTAAATTTACAGTATAAGACTATTTGCCACATTAAACTTAGCTTTTTAGCACATGCTAGCACATTAATTGTATGTGCTGTTAAGGTAACAGAAATAGATAATATCAGGTGAGTAGAGAAACCAGCATACATTGATGAATAATCGTGTTATACTTTAATAGTCACTTTTGCAAGGAAGTGGAACAAATGTTTTGTTGGTATTTGATATGGCAAACTTTAATGATGTGACCCCCCTCCCCCAAAGTTGCTTGTACTGTTGAGTACATTTAATGCTGTGTATTTTTGAACATACATTTACTTACTCCCAGGGTTGTTTATATGGCCGCACATTGTTGGTGTTTCATGACATATAATTCTTTCGAGGTAGGTCGTTAGCCCAACGCTCAACCCCTAACCTGGAGGACCAGGACATACTCACATACACTATGGACAATTTTAAGTTACCCAGTTCTCCTATAGCGCATGTCTTTTTATTTACATTTTTTGTTTTGTTTGTTGGACAACAGTATCTCCAGCAGAAAAGATCTCCAAAGCTGCCGTTAGGGTTAGGTAAAAATCTGTCTTTTTTTTTTTTAAATAAAGACAGCAGAAATCAATAATTAATTAGAATTAGTTAGCGTGAAGTGTTTACTGCTCTAAAATATGAAAATGTTTTTATCCAGACTTTTAAAAAGAACATATTTTAGAGCAGCAATCAAAATACTAAAAACGTACAAAATCGTGAAACGATGAAACTTGGATATATTTATCCAAGTTTATCATACCGTCAGAATATTATGTGATGTGACGCAGACAACTTAAGTGTGGATTCAAATGCAGGTTAGAGATGTCATGTAAGCAACACAGGGGCAAACAGAATTATACAGGCAATCCAGAGCCATATAGTCAAAAACACAGGCAGATAGTCAGAAGGCAGGCAGCAGACAGGAATAAACAGATAAACAAGGCGAGGGTCAAAACACAGCAAAGCAAGAAAAGGAAAATGCGTCGTAATGCTCACAGTACAGTTTACAAGACTCAGTAAATAGTGTGTGCCTGTGCTGCTTAAATAGTCCATGTAATCAGTCTTTGACAATCCTCCGGCTGTGTATATGCAATCAGTCAGGATCAGGAACAGCTTTGTGTGTGTGTGGTGCATGGCTGTATCTTGTAGTCCATGAAATGGAGGATTTGAAGTCCGTTAGCAATCAGTGTATATACCAGTGATCTGCTTAGGCTGGATCGCTGGTGATCGTGACAATCTTACATTGGCCCATATTGCCCACACATAAAAACAACTCTAGCAACATTTTAGCTAATTGTGCAACATTTCTATCTCTATTGCAGGTGTCTGTGTCAGTATGGTTAAGAAACACTATAGTATTTACTATAAATTACTTTAGTGTATTTTCAAGTGGGTGCCTGACAAATGAAAATAGATCTGGTAGCAGATTTTGAAATCTCTGTTACTTTTTACCTTGCATTTTACCTTTACATTGATTATTATTGATTTAGGATATGCAACGACACAGTGGCTCAGTGGTTAATTCTGTCACCTCAAAGCAAGAAGGTCATTGGTTTTAGTCCCAGCTGGGTCACTTGGCATTTCTGTCTGGAGTTTGCATGTTCTCCCCATGTTGGTGTGGGTTTCCTCCAGGTGCTCCAGTTTACCCCACTGTTTAGAGACATGCAGTACAGGTGAATTAAAGAAACTTAATTGGCCGTAGTGTATGTGTGTGAATGAGTATGTATGGGTGTTTCCCAGTACTGGGTTGCAGCTGGAAGGGCACCTGCTGTGCAAAGCATTTAGCGTAATGTATTTGGGTGCAATATATCGTACAAACAAAAATAGATATTGTGACAGGCCTACATATATGTATAAAGGAATACCTGGGAAACATTCATTATTCGCCCTGCTAGCTCACCCTCATGCATTTCTGCTCTTGTTAGAGCTGTCTGTTTGATGTGTGTGTCAGGAGAATCAGGTTTAGGGAAAGTGCTATATTTGGAGCACAATTATTTTCCTGCTGACGTGACTCCGTTACAGATTGATTTGGGCGCTCCCAGGTGGCTTGTGGGATAGCTTTACGGGCCAGGCATAAGCGATGATGCTGGAGGACAGACACTACAGGGCACTGAGCTTTCTGCCATACTGATTCATCTGTGATGTTACCCACTTTCACTGGAATGAGCGCTCTATTGTGCATGTGTGTGTGTGTGTGTGTGTGTTCATGAAAAAAAAAGAAAAAGAAATTTCTGACATCACATCATGCAGACAGTGTGAGGCAGATTCATTCAGAAGTGCAGATCCACGAGACTGCAGGGCATGAGATCTCCTCATGCTCTTGTTCTCGGGTCAGGTCGAGGTCTGTTTAGTCCTAATCTGTCACTTCCTATTGGGTGAGTGGCTGTATGACGCAAGGACACATCTGTCTCTGATGGTTTGTCATTATTATCTCTTAGTAATATTTAATATACTGTCCATCATGTGTGAAACCTGCATTACTGAGGATAAGCTGCTCTTTTTATGGTCCGCTAAAATTAAAATGACAGTTTGTTGGGTGTTAGTATCAAAATGTCTTAAAAGTGATCTCCAAAATAATGACTAAATATACAGTTAGAAAATATAAGCATTTAAAAATGGCAGTTTCTCACTTCCACCAATGTAGATCAGTGATTTCTATAAAGTCATCTCATAGTTTCTAACCAGATCTTCTGACCAATCAAATGCTATTTAGTTTCTGAAACATCCTCCCCTTTTTAAAGGGATAGACCCAAAAATGAAAACCTAGGCAAGACAAGGGGATGCAGGTTTATTAATATAGCACATTTAATACACATTGGTAATTCAAAGTGCTTTCCATAAACAACAATAAATGAAACAAGAAAATAAAAATCTTTAAAAGAATTAAAAATTATCAAAACAGATGAAAACAGATTCAAATGTGTTAAAGCAAGTTTTTGAAAGAAATATTTGTGTGATCTGTCAGATGTAGCTTAGTGCCCATTTAGTAAAGGCACAGCTAAACAGATGTGTTTTCAGTCTTGGTTTGAATGTGCCTAATGTTGGAGCACATCTGATCATTTCTGGGAGCTGATTCCAGCAGCAGGGTATGTAGTGGCTGAAAGTCGATTCATCCTTTCTACTGAACTTTCACGGTTTCGCGGTATTGTGATTACTTCTCTAAAAAATATTCTTTTTAAATGTCTGGGTAAAAACTATTTTTTTCCCCCATTTGAACACAACATATTTCATTTTGAGAAAAATTTTAAAAATTTTGGAACAGTAACTGTATAATGCTAAATAAATTATTAACTTCTGCGGTCTTCATTTGTTTCAAAAACTTTTTTTTTTTTTTTTTACAATTCAAAAAGGCATCTTTTCTGTTGGAAATACTGTTGTTCTAAAAAACAAACAAAAAATGCAAAAAAGAAAATTGTACATATATTACAGAAAATGTTGACGGTTTTAAAATCTTGACTTGCCAAACCACGGTGTAAAAAAGCCATTGTTCAGTTTATGCACATTTAAAATAGGTGTTGTATGACGATTATTTCATCTCTCATTTAGAAGAAAAGGTGTAGCATATTTAATGAGTCGCGCCACCGCGAATCAGTTCAGTTAGGAATCAAGCCAGCGTTCGCGAATCAGTTCAGTTCAGTTCAAGTCAACCGAATGATAAAAACGAAAGTGAATCAGTTCAGGAATGGCGATGTGAAAGCGGAGGTCCTACAATCTCATCTTTAACGGCGTAAAACAGTAAACTATCCACTCGCTCTGTAGCCCCTTCACTTTGTGAACTGCAGAAGGGTGTATGATAATCTGGATTGACAGCGGATGGTTTTTAATAACGCTTATAGACGGTGCCGAAGTCTCGCTCGCGACGATCCTTGCAAGTGCGTCAATGAGAAACGTGAGTGTCACTCGACAGTACCTTATATTATATTAATATGATTGTCAGTTACTTGTGTTTAATTGATGTACAACTGCTGCATTGTTGATTGTAATGTTTGAGTATTTAATTGCCCACATTACTATTATCTACATGCATATTGTATGGCTATGACTCAGCAAATTTGTAGTGCTGCTGGTGTCCATCATACGATGATTCCAATTATTACTGATAACATTAATTTGTTTATTATAGAACCACACATGTGCAAGAGTCGTATGAAGCAGTATCATAATTATTCAGCAACATCCAGTACCGGCTGAAATTCCTGCCCTTCTCATCGCGGGAGGATTCATTGTGCACCAACGGCCCTGAGACTGTAGCTAAAAGACCAGCTTCATTCAACCTCCTGGTATCTGAACGTGTAGAAAGGACTTTTTTATAATAGTTTTCTTTACTACTGATTTGTAAGCGATCAGCATTATTCTTTACATACTATTGTGAACCTTTTATTTCATTATTATTTGCGCAGGCCTACGCTCTTTTGATGTATGTTTTTGTTTCATTTAAATAATATTGTTATTTGAGAATTAATATATACTATTTGAGTAAACACCTACAATTTAGTACGTCTGTGTTTTTTTCTTTCATGGTTATTGGACATTAGTGTTAATATACATACTGAGACGATTGGCACCGTAACAGTTACCAGTGCAACCCAGTTCTTCATAACATTTTATGGTCCTTCGAGCCGGAGGCACAACCGTCTCAGTAACGATGTCCAAACCAGGAGAGAAAATGTTAGATAGTGACGTAGTTCGCCCACGTAGAATTACTAGACCGCCTTCATATCTTCAAGATTATGAGTTTGGTTTAGCTCAGACACAGCATACATTCGCAAACGAGCATGCTAGTGCAGTAAGAAATACTGATGTTATCTCTTTCATCCACGAAATGAGAGAAGAGAGCAAGCAGCTGAGGCAAGATGTGCAACGAATTTCAGAAATAATCACTAATTTACCTGTGTTAGATACACCACAGGTTTCGCCATCCTTACAGCCATCTCCTGATGCGGAGTTTGACAGATCTGCTATTCCAATGGCTGCTAGGAGGATGTCTTCCCCTCATTATGAGCAAAGTTCTGATCAACCCGAACTGCCCCCACCAGTGCCTCCAAGAGATGAGTCACTGCATGTGTATAACGATAGCCGACAAGACCTCATTGAAGATCTCATACATCGTCTAAAGGAAACAGGACGACTGAGTGGTGCTCCAATACATTCAGGTCAGGCAACACCTCAATATGCGGAGCCCCCCATGGTAGAGAGGAAACTTATGCCATATGCAATTGATCGTCATAATCAGTCTACTCCATCTAATCGGCTATATGATGAATCTAACCCATTACCCAATCACTTTCGTCAACCCCCTCGAGATCCATGTCATCCTCCTGCTGACCCATATAAATATAATTCGCATTCAGAGTACAAGCCTGCCAGAAATCTTAGTGATCCACGTTATGGGCATTTAACTCAAACGTCCCACAAACCAGTCATGCTTGAACATTCTGGTCCTTATTTTCAACGAGAACGGAGAAATAATCACTATCCTGATAATGAACGATTCTATTCAACTGATATGCCATATCCAACCTTGCACCAAGAGCCTAATCTTCCTTACCAGTCTATGTCAGTCCAGTATCGTGGGCCTACACCCACCATCCCAGATTTTATACATGATGATCCGCGAGAGTTTAATCGACTTAAACTTGCTTTAGACAACGTTTTGCCTGAAGACGCATCTGAATCATTCAAGTTTCAAATACTCATGGATCATTTGAAATTAGAAGATGCCTTGCTCATTGCAGATTCTTACAGTCATGGTCCTTCTCCCTTTAGTGACACTATGCGAGCACTTATAGACATGTATGGGCAACCACACCAGCTGGCGCTGCAGCGAATATCCAGTTTGATGGATGGGCCCAATATCAGAAGTGGAGATGTCAGAGCCTTCAAAGGATTTGCTCTTCGTGTTCGTGCTTTAGTAGGGATGTTGAATCAGTTGGGTAGTCCAGGATGGACCGAGCTGAAATGCGGTTCTCATGTATCACGCCTCTTAACAAAGTTGCCTTATGATCTGAGAGCCAACTTTAAGAGATTTATCAACCCACTGCAGACTCCCATCCCTACACTGCTTGATTTAGCTGACTGGCTTGAATATGAGGTACGTGTGCAGGTAGAGGGAACACGATACACTACCTTTCTTGATCGAGAGAAGTTTGGTCTACACAAGGATAAGAGGCCAGGATTTCCTGCTCGAAAGCCAACTACTATCCTACATGGCAGAGACCAGAAGGAAGTATTTACAGGAAACTTTGGTACAGGGTCAGTACCTTCAGGAAAAACACAGGAGAATCCCAAGAAGTATTGTCCCTTTTGTGATACCATCAATCATTATATGAATCAGTGCTCAAACTTTAAGCTCCTGACTAAGCAACAGGTCGAGAATTGGATTAAAATGGGTCACCGATGCTGGAGATGTGGCCGAAGTCATCCAACCTCAAAGTGTACTCTAAAGGCGAAATGTAAACAATGCGAAAGGAGACATCTTGAAGTGCTGCATGATGTTAATACCAACTCTGATCCAAGCAGGACATGCAACATCAGAGAGTCACATAGTAGCACAGATCCAGTAAGTTCTACTTCTCAGACCTTGTATCTGGACCGGCCCACAAGCGGAAAGCAAGTGCTACTTAAATTGAGTCGGGTTGTGATTCGTAATGGGGACAGGTCACTAGAGACCTATGCGGTGCTGGATGATGGATCAGAGCGAACGATTCTATTGCATGAGGCTGCTCAGCGTTTAGGCCTTCAAGGAACAATTGAGGACTTAGCGCTTCGTACAGTGAGACAGGAGGTACACACCATTCGTGGAAATTCAGTGTCCTTCACAATCGCTCCTGCTTCACAACCTGACAGATCATTTCAAGTTTTTGGAGCCTTTACTGCGAAAGGGTTGGGGTTAGTCAAACATACTTATCCCATCACTGAATTGCAGCAGAAACATGGCTATCTCAGAGATCTGCCTCTACATGCAATCAATCAGGCACAGCCATTAGTGCTTATTGGTTCTGACTACCCACATCTGATAACACCCGTGGAACCTGTGATATTGGGGTCTAAAGGAGGACCGGCAGCAGTACATACGAGACTTGGATGGACATTGCAAGGTCCATCAAGGATCCTTTGTTCTCAGCTCCAACCACAGGAATGTTTCTTTGTTTCTTGTGCAAAACCAGACTCAGAACTATTCAACCAAGTGGAGAACTTGTGGAAACTGGATATTCTGCCCTATCGCTCTGATAAGGTTGTGACACGCTCACGTCAAGATGCTGAGGCCATTCGGATTCTGGAGGAAAAAACAGTCAGAATTAATGTGGAGGGAGTCAAAAGATACGCAACCCCACTACTCTGGAAAGAGTCACTCCCACCATTGAATGCACCCAAAGTACCTCTGCTACGTAGTGCAGAAAAACGACTGTCTAAAGAGCCCAAATTGACCGATATCTATAATGCTGAAATCCAAAAGTTACAGCAAGCAGGATACATCACTTTACCAACAACAGAGGAGTGTGGTTTGAGCTCTCATTCATGGTATATACCTCATCATATCGTCCATCACAATGGAAAGAACCGCATAGTATTTAACTGCTCCTTTGAATACCAAGGTCAATCACTGAATGAGAACCTACTACCTGGGCCTACTCTTGGGCCAAGTTTGTTGGGAGTACTACTTCGCTTCCGGGAGCATCCAATTGCTGTTTGTAGTGATGTGAGAGGCATGTTTCATCAAGTTCGCCTCCTTGATGAAGACAAACCCTTTCTCAAATTCCTATGGCGTGATGGCATTACGTCTGAGCCTCCAACCATCTATCAATGGGCAGTCTTACCTTTCGGAACCACCTGCAGTCCCTGCTGTGCTGTTTTCGCCCTTCAGTCACATGCAGGAATCCTTGAGTCCACAGATGATGTGCGGCAAACTGTTGAACGTAATTTCTACGTAGACAACTGTCTTAAAAGCATCTCAGATGTGGAACAGGCCAAGCAGCTAGTAAACAGATTACAAAATCATCTATCGGAGGGTGGTTTCGAGTTGCGACAATGGGCCAGTAATGATCCTACGGTCATTGACCATTTTCCATCTGAGCTGAAGTCAAAGGGCAGCGAGATCTGGCTCAGCCAAGGTACAACTAACCCTCTGGAACGAACCCTTGGACTGATATGGAACTGCCAATCTGATACCTTAGCATACAAACCATTCCAAGAGGATAAAGGAGAAATCACCATGCGCAAGATTTACCGCACACTTGCAAAGCAATACGACCCCTTAGGGTATCTGATTCCCTTCACTACAAGGGCAGAGATCATTGTACAATTGCTCTGGAACAAGAAAAGAGGCTGGGATGACCCCTGTCTGCCAGCTGATCTGCTAGCTGCATGGGAAGAATGGGAAAATGAGCTTCCCCATTTAGCTCAGATCACCTTACCACGGTGCTACAGTGGTATTGTTCAGCAGCCAATCAAACATCGCAGTGTTCACATTTTCTGCGATGCTTCAGAGAGAGCCTATGGCTCAGTAGCATACTTGAGTACTGAAGATGATCAGCACAACACACAGATAGCTTTCCTAGCAGCAAGATCCAGAGTGGCTCCGAAGAGACAACTCTCCATTGCACGCTTAGAGCTATGTGGGGCTCTGACGGGAGCACAGCTAGGTGCCGTCTTGAAGAGAGAACTGACGCTAGAGATCCACCACTTTGTATATTGGACTGACTCTACCACAGTTCTAGCTTGGCTGCAGTCTGATTCTTGCAGGTACAAGGTGTTTGTGGGAGTCAGAGTTAGCGAAATACAAGAGTTGTCTGACCCAGGATCCTGGCATTATGTCGATTCATCGACTAATCCTGCTGATGATATTACTCGTGGTCTGACGTTGACACAATTGACCCAAGACAATCGCTGGAGGCAAGGTCCAGCCTTCTTGACACAACCAAAATGTAACTGGCCAAAGGTTCCTGAACGTCAAACCCCTGATGAAGACTCTGAGCTTAGGAAACTCACCTTCTGTGGGACACTTAATGAAACACCAGTTATTCCAGATGTTCAGCAATTCAGTAGTTATCAAGAGCTACTAGACAACACAGTGAAATCCCTTCATGGGGCGGCTGAAAAGGGACAACCACCAAATGCAAATGACTATCACGATGCAGAACTGACTCTCCTGAGACATTGTCAGATGCATGATTTCCCAAAAGAGTTTGCATTGCTCAAGGAAGGAAAGCCTGTACCAAACAGTAGTCAACTGTCAGGACTTGCACCTGAATATGACCAAGACTCCAATCTGATCAGAGTGGGCGGCAGACTTAGAAGATGTGAGAGCCTCACCAAAGATATTTTACATCCTGTCGTTTTAAATCCCACTAATCCAGTAGTTACTCTTCTTATTAAGCATTATGATGCAAAATTACTCCATTCCGGACCTGGAAGAGTGTACGCTGAGCTACGACGGAAATTTTGGATCCTAAGAGGGAGAGAGGCAGTGAAAAAGCATCAGCGCTGCTGCCCAGAATGCCAAAAGTGGAGAGGCCGACCAGTTATTCCGAAGATGTCAGATATTCCACCTTCCAGTCTTAGGTTGTTTAAACCTCCCTTTTACTCCACTGGTGTTGATTGTTTTGGCCCCCTTATGATAAAGATAGGCCGACGAACAGAGAAGAGGTGGGGTATAGTGTATAAGTGCCTTACCACTAGAGCAGTCAGTCTTGACCTTCTGGACCATATGGACACTGATTCATTTCTGTTGTCTCTGAGACGCTTTACTGCACGTCGGGGAAGACCTTATGAGCTTTTATCCGACCAAGGAACTAATTTCCGAGGAGGAAATACGGAATTGGAGGAAGCTTTCAAGGAGATGCAACCACTACTGAGAGACCAACTGGCTAAAGAACAAATCAGATTTCGCTTTAATCCTCCCAGTGCACCACACTTTGGTGGATCTTGGGAGAGAGAAGTGCGGTCTGTGAAGACAGCACTGCGGACCACCTTGGGTGCTCAAATAGTAACTGAAGAAGTCTTGAGGACTGTCTTAGTGGAGGTCGAAGGTATCTTAAATTCGAGACCACTCGGTTACGTGTCTAGTGATGTCGCGGATCCAGACCCTGTGACGCCAAATTCATTGCTCATGGGGCGGCCTGACTCCTCCCTACCTCAGGTAGTCTATCCTGAGTCGGATCTGCTCAGTCGAAAGAGATGGAGGCACAGCCAAATTCTCAGTGACCACTTTTGGAAACATTTTGTGCATGACTTCCTGCCTACATTACAAGCGCGTCAGAAGTGGAAACAAGAAAGAGATAACATCACAGTTGGAACTGTAGTCCTCATAGCTGACGAGCAATTACCCAGAGCACTTTGGCGTGTTGGTACTGTTTCATCAATCATTCCTAGCCCTGATGGTAGAGTTAGAACAGCTGTCATTAAGGTCAAGGAACACACCTACACTCGACCAGTTGCCAAATTAATCAGACTACCCGCTTTACCACAAGATACAGATGTCATACAGTAAATATGCTGTTAGCAAATTTGACTACCAAATTTGGGGGCGGCTGTAAAAAAGCCATTGTTCAGTTTATGCACATTTAAAATAGGTGTTGTATGACGATTATTTCATCTCTCATTTAGAAGAAAAGGTGTAGCATATTTAATGAGTCGCGCCACCGCGAATCAGTTCAGTTAGGAATCAAGCCAGCGTTCGCGAATCAGTTCAGTTCAGTTCAAGTCAACCGAATGATAAAAACGAAAGTGAATCAGTTCAGGAATGGCGATGTGAAAGCGGAGGTCCTACAATCTCATCTTTAACGGCGTAAAACAGTAAACTATCCACTCGCTCTGTAGCCCCTTCACTTTGTGAACTGCAGAAGGGTGTATGATAATCTGGATTGACAGCGGATGGTTTTTAATAACGCTTATAGACGGTGCCGAAGTCTCGCTCGCGACGATCCTTGCAAGTGCGTCAATGAGAAACGTGAGTGTCACTCGACAGTACCTTATATTATATTAATATGATTGTCAGTTACTTGTGTTTAATTGATGTACAACTGCTGCATTGTTGATTGTAATGTTTGAGTATTTAATTGCCCACATTACTATTATCTACATGCATATTGTATGGCTATGACTCAGCAAATTTGTAGTGCTGCTGGTGTCCATCATACGATGATTCCAATTATTACTGATAACATTAATTTGTTTATTATAGAACCACACATGTGCAAGAGTCGTATGAAGCAGTATCATAATTATTCAGCAACATCCAGTACCGGCTGAAATTCCTGCCCTTCTCATCGCGGGAGGATTCATTGTGCACCAACGGCCCTGAGACTGTAGCTAAAAGACCAGCTTCATTCAACCTCCTGGTATCTGAACGTGTAGAAAGGACTTTTTTATAATAGTTTTCTTTACTACTGATTTGTAAGCGATCAGCATTATTCTTTACATACTATTGTGAACCTTTTATTTCATTATTATTTGCGCAGGCCTACGCTCTTTTGATGTATGTTTTTGTTTCATTTAAATAATATTGTTATTTGAGAATTAATATATACTATTTGAGTAAACACCTACAATTTAGTACGTCTGTGTTTTTTTCTTTCATGGTTATTGGACATTAATAGTGTTAATATACATACTGAGACGATTGGCACCGTAACAGTTACCAGTGCAACCCAGTTCTTCATAACACACGGTATACCTTGAAAACAGTTATCATTCCATGCCTGGGTGTAATGTGCTCCAGTTTTCTGGTTCTGTTCAGAATCCTGGCCACAGTGTTCTGGATGAGTTGCAATTGTCTGACTGTCTTTTTGGGAAAGTTAGTGAGGAGTCTTTTACAGTAATCTATCCTGCTGCTGATAAAAGCATGGACAAGTCCTCTCTGAAAACAAAGCATATAATTCTTGTAATATTTTTGAGATGATAGTATGCTGATTTACTTACTGCTTTAACATGACTATTGAAATTCAGACCTGACTCCAGAATCACACCAAAATTCTTGACCTTTTTTGTTGTTTGAAAAAAAAAAAAACTTACACACTATTTACTTTGCCTAAAGCAGATGCAAACTTTTAAACATTTCATTTTGCTGTTCAACACTAAAGAAAATATTTATAAAAGAGCTGAAAACTTGCAACCATTGAATTCCATAGTAGGAAAAACTAAAAGCCTAATATGGAAGTCAGTGGTTACAGGTTTTCAGCTTTTTTCAAAATATATTATTTTGTTTTTAACACATAAAAAAAGAAAGGCAAACAGATTTGTTAGAAGTTAAGGGTGAGTAAATGGTGACAATTTTTTGTATTGGGTGAACTATCCCTTTAAGACACTAAAACTACTGAAATTATTACTAAGAAATAAAAGAAACTAGTAATAAATGGTAATAGAACAGTGTTAATCGGAGCTCTCTATTTATATTACTCGCAACAGCAAGAGGAGGAATTCAAGTAGGAGGGATGTAATTGTGCTGTGTGCATCTATATTGTACTAACCTCTGTATGGCAAGCCCAAAGAGGCAAAATGCATTGCACTGTTAGCGTATTGGCAACTAGGACATTGAAAGTGAAGTATGTTACATAAAGTTACCGCTATAGTGAATGGCACAGTCTTCACTATATATAATTCATAAAATATGCTTTCCACTGGAGCGAATAAAGTTTGGTTTTACGTGACCCGCTACAGCAAACACATTCATGGTCTGTTCCAGTCTAGAGAGAAAGCACAGAGCAAATCATATGCACAAGTCGACACGGACCACAAATCGCATCAGACTCATTTGAATTACATTGAATGACTCATCGAAATACATTCAAATAACATCAACTGTCATGTTTACAATGGAAAACTAAGCCGAGTACTAGCGGTGTTTATAGATTAAAGATTAACTTCACAGGCCAACCTGTCTGCATTCTGTGCAAGCTTGCAGATGCTCTGCTTAACATCATTTTTGTCATGTGCAGTCAGCTTATTGTCTACGAGCGTCCTGTTTTGTTTTGTATGTATAACAGTAAATGTGTTAGAATAGGTACTGCATGTACACCACACTCGATGAAATATACTTTGATGAAAATATTTTTTCCCAGGGCCTTACAGTTAACTGGAGAGGAAACATGTCTAGGACTGTATTTTAAAACGGAGAAACGATTAGAAACAGCCTTACTGTCAAACTGTGGCTGTTGTGAGTCAAAGACACTTTAACTCAACAACTCTGACTAGCAGAGCTGTGATATAAACAAAACACTTCTGGCTATTTTTAAAAAGTCAAACACATTGTGCCACAAATATGCATTATTTACTCATAGTCATGTCAATGCATAGTCATCATCGTGGATATTTGAGTAACACTTTATTTTAAGTCACAATTCACGTTATTAATAAACCAATAGCTAAGACTATGAACTTAATGGGAGATGTAAAATATGATCATACAGGCCAGTAGCTAGCCTATAAAAAAGGGTTGGTTCTTTTATTCTTAAAAGTTGCTATTATTCGCTTCATTATCTATTAAATTACAAGGTTCAGATGCTGCAGAAGGGACGTGATGTTTGTTAAAAAAAACTGCGTGGGAGAAAAAAAAAAAAACAGTGATAGGGACAAATAAAAAATTATATATATATATATATATATATATATATATATATATATATATATATATATATATATATATATATACATTTTTGCATTCCCAAAAAATATGTTTTTCGTTCCCTCACAAACCTGTTTTTCCAGAAACACTTCCTGTTCACTTCATACATGTCAACCCTCCTGTTTTTGCCAGGATTCTCCTGTATTTTACCATTCTATCCCGCTATCAGCCTATCATTAAGTATTTTCCCATATTTCTGATGTTTTTTTAATCTTGAAAGCACGTTGGAATTATTATAAAAATGTCTGCATTCGCTTTCTTTCCATTAAAGCTGTGCGTCGATCATCGCCATTCATATGCAACCTCTGAATCAGTGAATGCATACATGACTGACAGACGCGCTCCAAATGATAAACTGATCCCTGATCAGATCAGAGCTTCCGTACACTACATTAAAAGTGACACCTCTGTTATCAAGAGCACCTCTGTTATCAGAGCAGCAAATGAATCTCGTTTTGTTTTGTTTTATAACAGAGGTGTCAGTTTAAGAATGCACAGATCTATAATGAAAGCATTCTATTACTTCAGTAACTGTGCTCATTTAAGAGAAATTAGTTGTGTTTAAGATCAAACATGCAGGACGGACATGTTTACATATTATAAAGTGTATTTGTCTGTTTAAACACACATACGTATCCCAGAGTGCCCTGCACTTTAACCCCTCTTTAAATGGCTTGTAAAGAAGCTGATCTAGGATCAGTTTATCATATGGAGCGCACCTTTCTGTCATGCATGCATTCGCTGATGTTGCATATGAAGGGCAATGATCAACGCACAGTTTTAATGAAAAGAAAGTGAATGCAGACATTTTTATATTATGATATCGGGATAAAATGGTAAAATATGGGAGAATCCCGGCAAAAATGGGAGAGTTGACACATATGAACTGAACATGAAGTGTTTGTGGAAAAACAGTTTTGCAAAGGAACGCAAAACATCATTGCATTCCCTCGTAAAACAACGCAACAACAATGCAACAACTTTAAAAAAATATTTAATTTTTCCTATCACTGTATTTTTTTCTCCCACCCATTTTTTCCACCACCATCACGTCCCTACCGGGTCTTTCCCACATTTTTGTCAAAGTGCTAACCATACTGTTTTAGCACAAAGTGTTTATTTAAAAATGTGCACGTTATTACAGTTTTATAAATAATGAAATTAGATAATAATTTTAAATGAAAGAAATATGAAAAAAAAATTATTATCATGTATCATTAAAAAAACTAAAACAATTAGAAGTTTGTTAAATCTATTTTTAAATGAAAACTGTAGCATATAGGCAAATAACAAACTGGCCAGCTCACTTCCTCAGTCAGAATTTATCCATTTAAATAATTAAAGATTTTATTTGTGTTAACAATTATTTGTGTTTCACAATTTATGATGACATTCTGTCAAAAATGGGACAAATGAGCGTGTATAGCAGCCAAATTCATCTTATCACATTGAACTGTCATACTTTATAACTACAGTTAAAATCTTATTAACAATAAGCCAGTAGATAATAGTGTGAATTGTGACTTAAATTTAAGTGTTAGCAATATTTGTATACATGTTTCATGCTTGTAAATGTACACATGCTTCTATAGTATACTACATTATATACAAATAGTAATTTAACCTTAAAGGTGCTGCATGTACGTTTTTGACTGTTCTAAAGCCTAAAAAATACCATAATATGTATGCAGATGTTTAAGAAACATCAATAGAAGTCTTTTGTTTATTTGAAAAACAATGCTGAAGTCAAATATTCTGCTTTAAAAATGTGTTTTCTGTCAAAACGCTGTCTTTGTTTATGTTCTTTTAACCTGTCCAATGGCAGTTTAGCCAATTATATTTCAGCACCCCAGGTTGCCTTAGTGGAAAACCGCTTATTTCATTCATTTAGAAAGGCTCTGAAAGCATGCATCCGTGATCGAAATGTGACCTCCGTTGGACAGTAGCAGACTCCAAAATGAGACAGATTCAGTTCCAGATAAGGATATTAATTAGCAAATAATAAAAACATTATGAATGTAAAGATTAGGTGAGCAGGTTACATTGGACATCATGCAGGTCCACCACAGGTTGCATCGTGTCCTAACAATACGCTTCGAGACAAGATACGCATTGATAAGCAATTTTGTCTGTTTGCACCAGACAAAACACGACAGAAATTTAAATACAGCCATTCAGAGGCACAGAATATGCACTCACTCACAAAATGGTAAGGTTTATAATTTATTTAATACATATTCACCCTCTTTAACATTATTAAATGTGCATGCTGAATTACTCATACGCGTTTAATTCCAAAGTTTAATTTCAAACGGTTTATTTTATTTCATGATCTGAGGTGAACTATCTGCTGCTGCTTTCAGTATATGTCGATAAATGTCATGTAAGATGGCATTCCAACTCACATTGTAAGCATTTAACACTGAGGTGTACCTGAGGTGGTCATTGTCATAGTTTTCTGTTGTACACCTGTGAGAAATAGAAGCCACTTCTTGTATATCAATTCAGGGTTTTGGTTGGACAAAACCTCCATTTTATATGGAAAATGTTTCTTCTTTTGCACGGCGTTGCTTTTATTTACAATACGGTTTAAATCACTCGCTTCTGTCATCAATCTGGAAACCTGTGCCTGCGTTTGTATTGATCCAGGAGTGCAATACCTAGTTCAACCACTCGGTGTCAAACTTACATACTGCACCTATAATTTCCAGGGCAAATACTGTGTAAAATCTCAAGCTTTTTCAGATACATTTGACATTCCGACTGATCCAAATCCTATATTAATTATATTTGGAGTTTCTGAAGAATTTTTGAGACTTACAGGGGTACAACAACTGTTTGTTTTATATGTGTTGATGTATACCAAAAAATGTATCCTTTTGTTTTGGAAGTAAAAAGAAGTATAGCTTTTATATCATCGCTGACAGAGTTAACTGGAGTTAACTTTTTAATGGGGAAAAAAAAAAAATCTGGTATGCTCTATATACTCTTAAGTCAAATAATAAAAAAACTAATTCTAAGGAATCCTACTATTTAGAATCACATTTTATTTAGAAGTAAAATGTGTGTGTGTGTGTGTGTGTGTGTGTTTCCCAGTTTATTTTGTCATTTCTCAGTGGCCTTTCTTGCAGAAAATTAGATTTACTGTTTTCAAAGGCTTTTGATTTTGTCTTGTTGGTGGTGTCCTTCTAAGCTCTTAGTAGAGGATTCTGAGACGTCTCCTTTCATATGACCCTTCACCTGAAAATGCCAGAGGAGCCATCAGATGTGAGTGGAGATGAAGGATGACTGGGTCACGCATACACACAC